GATCATGTGCTTTTCCATGTTTTGTTGTTGTAAATTTAAAATGACTGCATTCAATCTTCATGTGTGCCGTTGTCTGGATTAAAAAAAAAACAAGAATTGCAGTTTAAACTCTTCTGTTGCTTTAATTTTTGCAGCGTGTTAACAGAAAAATTGTATGACGATAGAAAAGCAAAACAAAATCAAGACAGATATGCTTTTCTAACTGTAACATTTAATTTTGACTTAATAAATATCACAAATAAGTTATAAATCCATTAAAAAAACTTCTGAAAGTACACTAAAAAAAACTGTGAATAAAACCTTTAGAATGACATTTCAATTAATCAATCAATCAATCAATCAATCAATCAAATTGTATTTATAAAGCCCTTTCCAGCAGCCAAAAGGTGCACAAAGTGCTGCACAATACACAAGTTAAACACAATTAAGAATTAAAAAAACAGACAGTTAAAAATTAAAAACAAACAATTAAAACATAGCAAGATTGCTAAAGAACTACTAGGTATTAAAAGCCTGCCTGAATAAAAAGGTTTTAAGTTTAGACTTAAAATGCTCCATGTCAGTGATGGAGCGCAGGTCCTGAGGTTGCTGGTTCCAGAGTGTGGGTGCAACGACAGAAAAGTCCCGGTCACTCCATCGTTTGTAGTTGGACTTTGGGACAGACAGTAGAGAAGTAATGGATGGTCTCAATGTTCTCCTACATTCACCAACAGCTATAAGTTCAGTCAGATACAGTGGGCCAAGACCATTAACAGCTTTATAAGTGAATAATAAAATTTTGAATTTAATTTCAAAGTAAAACAAATTTAAGTCTTTGCCAGTTAACTCAGACTTTTCTTCAACTGGTCTGTGTCGGTCTTTGTGTTTTTTATAACCTGGATTTCCTTTGTGGAAAATGTTTTGGATAAATCTTTTGGCTCTTTGACTGAGGAACTCTGCTTGTTCTTGCTATTTTGCTAATTCTTTACATCATTATAATAATTTCTGTAGAGGTTGCCCTTCCTTGCAGCCTGATCATTTGTACAAAAATAGTCTTAAGTCCATAAGTTAATTTAAAAAAAAATAATAATAATAATAAACAAATAAGTTGAAACTGTTATTGTTTACCTGCATCTGTGCTTCAGAATAAAACAAATCAATAAAATCATTGATAAAGTCCTCTTGTTTTGTTCTGTACAACATTTTGAATGGCCATCAGATGTTAAAAATGACACATTGGATGAATAAGTTAAGTGCAAAGAATACTTTTGAAGGCTGTCCAGAAAAAAATACTTCAAAATTTTGAGGATTATGTTATGAGTGGTTGCTTGCAGTTTTTCCTCTGAACCACGAACCCTTAATGCTGTTAAAAGCGTGTCCTTCACACTATGTTCTTTAGAAGGCTGAGACAAGTGGCACAAGTACTAAAGTTCCCACTTGATGTTGTTTTTTTTACTTTATTTTGAGAGATGTACTTTTTTATTTTTACTTTACTCAGGAAATATACAGGTTGCCCTTTAAACTCAAATATTTCATTTTGATTCTGCAAGTTTACATTTGTTACTGCCTGAATTTAGGAAATTAATGTCAATGGAAATAAACAACTTTTAAACAAGTTAACTTTTATCTCATTTTTTGTAAAATGATTTACTTCTATCAATCAATCAATCAATCAATTTTATTTATAAAGCACCCTTCATACTGAAGCAGCTCAAAGTGCTGTACAGAATTATAAACAACAAACACACAAAATAAAATAAAAATATATGGAAAATATATAGACTGAACAGAAATGAACCAGTTCAGGAAATGCAGTTAAAAACATGGGTCTTGAGCCTGCTCTTAAAAAACAACAACATTCTCTGCGGCCCTGAGGTTCTCCGGCAGACTATTCCACAGACGGGGGCCATAGTACTGGAAAGAAGCCTCACCGTAAGTGTGAGTTCTGACTATTGGAACTGTTAGTAGTCCAGTGCCAGAGGACCTTAGGGTCCGTGGGGGTTCATAGGGTAATAGCAGCTCTGCAAGATAAGATGGTGCGAGACCATTGAGACATTTAAAAACCATTAAAAGAATCTTAAAATCAACCCTGAGGCGCACAGGGAGCCAATGCAATGATTTTAAAACAGGTGTAATATGAGCCTGCCTTCTGGTCTTGGTTAGCACATGAGAAGCAGAGTTTGGTAACAGCTGAAGGCTGGATACATTTTTCTTAGAGAGACCAGAAAGCAGTGCATTACAGTAGTCTAAACGGCTAGATATAAAAGCGTGCATCAAAGTCTCAGTATTAGTGAAAGAGAGAAGAGGGCGGACTCTGGCTATATTTTTTAGATGGTAAAATCCTGTTTTGACTATATGTTTGATATGAGGAATAAAAGTAAGCTCAGAGTCAAAAAGAACCCCCAGGCTTCTTACTTTTTTTGGAAGGTTTTAAAGACAGAGATTGTAATTTCTGAATTGTATTTTCTTTTTGAACCTCTGGTCCAATGATTAAAACTTCTGTTTTGTCCTGGTTTAGCTGGAGAAAGTTCTGTGCCATCCAGGACTTTATGTCTGAAATGCAATTAAAAAGTGCAGTGATTGGCCGGGGGTCATCGTGAGATAATGAGATGTATAGCTGTGCGTCATCAGCATAACTGTGGAAGCTTATCCCATGGCTCCTGATGACTCCACCAAGCAGCGACATGTACAAATTAAAAAGTAGGGGGCCTAAAATGGAGCCTTGGGGGATGCCATAGTTGGCTTCATGGATCTGTGAGGTGCATGTATCCATAATTACCATAAAGGTTCTACCTGTGAGATAGGAGCTGAACCACAGAAGAACAGTACCAGAAAGACAGACCAGGTGTTGTAATCTATTTCAAATAATTTGATGATCTACTGTATCAAAGG